CCTTTAAGGACTGTGTAACTTTTTCCCGATATTAACGCGTAGGCCTGTAGGTGGGTTTTAACCAAAAAAAAAACATAATTTTTTCTCATAACAAAAATGAATTTGCTTCTGACATTTTAAAATTAATATTTACAAAATAATTTCTTAAATGATAAATATAAAATCATAAAACATATAGAAAATTTTTGATTATTTATGCTCTATAATGCCCAAAATTGGAGAAATATGTTGGCTTTTTCATTTTTTGAGGAGAAATACTTAAAAGTTTGGTTCGAATTAAAATACCCCAAAAATTTGAAGAGACATTTTAGTTTAATTATATAAGTGAACTTTTTAGTACAAAAATAATCTCAAACAAAGCCCTATATATCAAAGTTGTGAATCTGCTTGTTTCCCTTAAACATTATTACATGAATCTCAGCCGAATTCAAGCTATGCTAAAACATTAAAAATTATGTCAGCTGAATGACAAAATGTTCTGTAGCAATTTGCTCAGAACTACCAAAGTTTGTTATATCTCAAGCTTCCAATTTGAGTAAGTAGAAATTTCCTATAATATTTACCTTAGCAATTTGCTACTCAAAACTACAATGTTTCGAAAGATACAATATGTAGATTAACAAGGTGAGGCGTGCTCTAATTGAAATTCTACTGTTTAGATCTGTGGAAAGCTTTGGTCATTATATCTACATAAAGCTTTATTAAATATTTATAAGCTGCCTACATACTTTAGTCCTTAGCAATGAAGGGCATGCGACTAAGGCTTCGTTTGAGACAATTTACTATTTTTAATGCAGTTTTCTAGCACAAAAATTTAACTTCAAAAAATTTTTGTATAAAAAAGGTGCTTTAAAAAATAGTAAGAAAGTTGTCCCAAATGAAGTCTAAGACAGCTTTCTCATTATTTTCAAGCCTAAGGCTTCATTTGATACATTTTTCTTACTATTTTCTACAACGGCATTTTAGTACAAACATTCTTTTCGTTTTTTACATCTTTTTTACTGTTTCTTAAACTAGCTTTCTAGTGCAAAAAATAAATTATTTTATTAAAAAGTTGCTTTAAGAAGCAGTAAAAAAACATCCCAAACGAAACCTTAATTAAAAATAGTGAAAATGCAGCAGCTAAAAGCTGTCCCAAACGAAACCTAAATGTTTTAAAGCTATGTTTAATAGCTTTCATGCAAATAAAAAGAATTTTGCAAATATTTCCTACATTCACAAAAACTAACATACTTTTAAGGATCATATCATAGGGAACAATAAACCAGAAAAAAATTTAATCCAATACAAGAGAAGGTAAAGTACATAACACAACTTATGCTTTATTTGAGATGACTTTTTTACTGCTTCTTAAAACGGTTTTTTTAATTTTTGTACTAAAAAGCTGTTTTAAGAAGCGGTAAGAAAGCCGTCCCAAACAAAACCTTAATCAACATGAAATTGACATGACAGAACTCAAGAAAAACAACAATAACGATGGACAAAATGAAAGTTATTAGAAGAAACAAAGAAACAAATGCTGCCTTGTAATTAATGGCCTTTTTGAAGAAATTGTGAAGAAGTTTTGATAATCTAAACGAGCTGAACCAGATCCCAAAGCCCCAGAAATGAAGGTAGAAAGTGCTTTCTGGACATCAACTTCATGTTTCTCCTCTCAGAATGACCAAAGGAATTTTGAATTAAATCAGGTACTCAAATTATCAGCAAGTTTTTCAAACACAACAAATCTTACTTCATCAGCTGGTTTTGTGTCGTCGAAAGAAAACAAGTAAATATCTGCGGTGTAATCATATGCTCAACGGCATTCTGCCTCTTCAACATTGAATACATAAAACTGAATAACAGAAGCAATGTACTCAATAGTATGCTATTCTTATTTCTACTAAAAGTAAAGAAGAACTTCAGTTTTCCATTTTTCACCCATCAAAATCAATTGATTAACATTTAAGTTCGTGATATTCTCCATAACAGAATCAAGCTTAGAATCATTTATAGCTATAAGAAAATAAGAGAAACATCGAACAAGTTAACAAAATATGTAAGTTCAAGTGGTGCTTCAAGTTAATTGATGTCTTATCTTGTTCTTCATACAAACAATCCTTATACATACTAGTGCTTCAGCAATATCATGCTTCTATGTACTTCGATATTTATGTAGAATTCTATCGCCATTATTAAATGTACTTTCAAAAGAAATCATAAAAATTGGGGTGCACAAGACATCGCGAGCCATAACAAAAACTTCAAGAAACCTACACTGATTATCTTTTAGAATGTTATATATATATAATTTGACTTTCCTATCAAGTTTGGATTTATTAAGAGAAGTTTCAAGTTTTGACTTTTTTAGGCGTTGCAACTTTTATCTGGAAGGAATCAAAATTTTGTTTGTAAAGTTTAAAGTATTCTTGATAAGTTAGAAACACAGATGAACAATTGTACAAATTAAAACAAACATAAACATATAAATTCATTTACTTGAATTAAAGTACCTAAGGAAATTGTGATTTAATAATTATTTTTTTTAAAAAAATTGACTTATAACTTTGAGAACTTTGCGTTGTTCTAACAGCTCAAACTTTTAACTATCGAGATATTGTCCGCTTTGGCCTAAGAGACTCACAGTTTTGCCTTGTTGGTGTAACTGCCCAATAGATCACGCATCCCAAAATTGTTCTGGGATGCGCACACTTAACTTTCTTTTACTTAAGGGATTTCATAATCTCCACCACTTAAGTAACTGACGACTTCATCAGCATCTATATCCCAGAATCATTCACCAGGCATATAAAACTCTAGATGTGGCCCCTAGAAGTTCAAGTGGTGGCTCCCGTCATGTAGCACTTTGTCTCATACAAGGTTCAAGAGGTGGCTCATATGGCGTAGCACTTTGTCTTGTATGACACTTAACTCTCATCTTCCGACTGGTGTATTGCTCTTATATCATGTGAGCTTAAAATGACTCCTAAAATAAACATTGACAGTTCTTGGTAAAAAATTATAATAAGAAAATTTAGGGGTTTCACAATCCAACATAAAATAAACTATTCAGGTATTGGTATAACAATCCTGGTCGGGTTGGATTGTGACAGTTGCTGTTGATGATTATGCATCTGAGCTATACTTACAGACTTTCGAGTAGTTCGCAAATAATTAAAATAATTTATCCCTAACCTTTTTTAGTTTTCACATCACCATCATATAATTTCTTGTAACATCAATCAATAAAGCTAAATTTGTAAATGGAATAAAAAGTAATAGCTATTACTAAGATGAGACAAAATTCTAACTAATTCTTTTCATATTTTGAAAGCACTCCTATTGTAATTTTTTAAATATAGTCATGTACATCTCACATTTCATGTTTTACTATTAAATAAGCAATAGAGAAAAAAAAAATTCCATTTGCATATTTTGTTTTAGAGAAAGCACAAGTAATCTCATAAAAATGAGACAATAAATTACATATATTCAGCATTTTGTCCCATTCAATGCTACTATGACGAGACTTGTAGTTAAAATTACCCAACTCTAAATGCAAAAAAAGCACGTCAATATTAAATAGCATTGTCAATCATAAAGAAAGTGAAGTTCCATCTAAATGGAACATCTTGCCTCAAACCTCTTTTAGAGTCAAAAAAATTTTGTTTAACATTATCTTAGATTTTGTCTAACTAAAGTTTACAATATGTGCACAACATTATATATGAAAAAATTCACCATCATAAAATATGACATTTTATTATTGTTGCGTCCTGGAGTATTCACGACGGTAGAGAAATATTTAGTTTAACGTCTTAGTATTGTACGAAGATCCAGCACACAATTAGATAAGTGAGAGGGTGTAGCAATCATAAGAGACACCAGAGTTTTTTACGTGGAAAACCCCTAAAAAGGGGAAAAAACCACGGGGCCTGGCCCAGTTTGAATGAATCCACTAGTATTTGCAGTCGATTACAAATGAGGCATTATTTTTATAAATTCAAATAATTTCTAAAGAAATCAACATAAACATTATTAACATAAGCATTGTCTAAGGTTTCGTTTGGGACCGCTTTGTTACTACTTCTTAAAGCAGCTTTATAGTACAAAAATTAATTTTTTTTTACTAGAAAGCAGTTTTAAGAAGCAGTAAAAAGGCCATCCCAAACGAAGCTTAAATTAATACTAAAAAGCCTGTCTTAATACAAAATTTGTAATCTGTCTTTTTCAAATACCAGGTATTATCAATAAAGTATATAATTAAGCAAATAAAGTCAACTGTCTTAATACAAATCCACATATCAAATGTTAAGCAAACTCTACTAATATATTTACATTTCAATGACTAAGACTTCGTTTGGGACAACTTTCTTACTACTTCTTGAAGCAATTTTCTAATACAAAAGTTAATTTTTTTGTACTAGAAAGCTGTTTCAAGAAGCAATAAGAAAATAGTAAAAAAAAAACATAAATATACCGTTTATCTTTGATGAATAATTTATTGTAATTATTTTTATCTAGTATTTCTACAAAATAATTGTAGGGCTCCATGCAGATAAAATAGTAATGATCCATTTAATATATTAAAAGGAAAAATCATATGCAGTGTTCTAATTAAAATATTTTATGAAAAATTTTTCTTGCATATGATTTTAATTAAAATATTCGAATACAAAATTTGAATTAAATTTATTGCTTAAAAAAGAAATCTGCAAGAAAAATATTTTAATTCGAATATAATTTATAATATATTTTCATAAAAAATAAAATAATTGATATATTTATACAATTTTAATCAGATGTATAAAATCAAAATTTTAAATATACATCTCAAATTTATTAACATAATTTTTTTTTTCATATATTCTTGATTGTTTTTTTTTCATAATTTTTTTTTATTTCCTTAATTTTCAATAATAGTCATAAATTTATTTAACTATTATTTTATATTAATTATTAAAATTTTATGATAAAAAATTAAGGCGGTCGTTCAAAAATAATCCTTTATATTTCCATGATTTGCAGTTTTCCACGCAGAGGATAAGTGGCCACCGCCAAATGTCCCTATCCTCCCCGTGAGCTTAATTTTAAGGTAATTCCGAACTATTCGTCTCTTCACTCTTCGAATGCCTAGAGTGCTACCATGGATCGTTCTGGATCATCTGCGCTTCTCCGGCAACCCCTCACCGCCGTCTGTCCTCTGCCTCCGCGTTTTCTCATTTTTCGGAAAGTGCCGATAGCCAATGTGGAGTTCCGGCGGCGGCCACCGAAACCCAAAGCGGCTACTTCATCATCTGAAGCGGAAAAGACGGGGGCGGTCTCCTCGTCGCCGGTTTACATACCAACTCCCAGAGACAGGGAACTCCGGACTCCTCACAGCGGGTTGTTCCCTTGTCCAAATTTCTCGTCTGTTGATTCGCGTCAAGTGTTTGGATTTAGACTTCTGCTATGACATTGCTTTATTTTTGCAGGTATCACTTTGATGGGACCGCAAGGGTGTTCTTTGAGGGTTGGTACTTTAAGGTGTCAATCCCTCATTGTAGGCAGAGCTTCTGCTTTATGTATTCCGTGGAGAATCCGGCTTTTTCTGATGGGATGGGGGTGTTGGATAGGGCAATGTATGGGCATCGCTTTACTGGCGTTGGAGCTCAGATTCTTGGTGCAGATGACAAGTATATTTGCCAGTTTAGTGAGAAGTCGAAGAACTTTTGGGGAAGTGAGTCTTTTTCGGTTTTGTTTGGTTGCGTATGTCATTGTCGTTGCTTTATACGTGTATTTATGCTTTCTCACTGCTTGCTTATTTGTACATCTTACACTACATTTATGGATCTAAGAGCATTATACAGGGATGGAGATGAAGAAAACCATAGTAACCAAACCTTCACGCTGCCCCCTACCTTGACCTAAACTTACGTTTAATCGTTGGCAAGAGTTCCTCTCATGTGAGCGACCCCTTGTTCCATGAGTCAGATATGTTTGATTGGTGGGATTTTCATGTTGTGGATTATGTTGGAAATATTTTGACAATCAAATAGATTATGTATCTGAACACAATAAGATCAACATGAAAATATAACTTTTGATTGTGAAGTTTTAAATATTTGTTGAGCATTATGAAGTAAATTAAATAAATTAAGGAAATGTAAGCCAAAAAATCAAGATTGCATCTCTACCCTGAGTTCAAAGAGCATTCTATGCGGGATTCACCATTGTTGTTGCTACCAAGGTTGTTTTGGAGGCTTGTTCCTCACTTGTAATTAATCATCCGAGCTTGCTCTTATGAAAACTTGACTTCAAAACCGAATAAACCCAATCTTGCTTTGCTTTATGCTAGACTGGGAAAATCTTTGGGATATAATTTCCTTATTACATATATTAGTCTTTTGAATTCATATATAAACTCTGTTTTATCTTTCAACATCCTATAATTCCCGCTCTATGCAATGTTTGAAAGACATGCATATGTAATCCATCTGATTTGCGTTGAATGAGGGTCTGTTGCCATCTCTCGAGATTGTATATTTTCTTTTGTTCTCAGTACTATGACTTTTGAAACCCTTTTTTAAGATATGAATTATTATTATTTCGTCCTCATCCTTTTTGCATCCATGTCAAGTTACCATTTTATTAAGAACCTACTATCTGATATTTAGAGATTAATGTACACTTTCATGTTGTATTTTGTTGATAATAATTTTCTCTACCAGTCATCTTTTTTTTGCTTGTCTTTTAGCTTCATGAAATTATTTAATAGATTACTTGATATGGTTAGGTAGGCATGAACTCATGCTTGGGAATACATTCATAGCAGGAAACAATTCAGCCCCTCCAAATGGGGAGCTTCCTCCTCAGGTCTTGTCTTCTCTTACTTGTTACCCACTTAGCATTCACACAGTTTGCTTATATGCAAAGCATTTTACTTGTGCGCTTTCTGTAATTTGTGGCAAAAGCATCTCTACAGCTCTGGTACTTTGAATTTACTTTTATTCTTCCTTTTTGCATAGGATATTTGGCTTTTCTGTCGACATAGCAGTATACAAGATAGCATGGCTAAGGAGTTGTTTATGTCCAAAACAGTTCCTTATAAATTTCTTACGTTCAACTGTAAACTTGTCATACAAAATGATAGCGTAGGTATGATAAAAAAAATTCTTCTAGTTAGTTAGAAGGTGATATGAATATTCTAACATTGTCAAATAAATCTTATTAGTATTAGAAAGGATCAATTTTCTCTCATTGTGATTTATTTATTTATTTATTTGAGAGGAATAATGGTTTCATGTTATATTGTAAGATAAAAAAGTGAGCGATATTGTGATATCAACATCTATGATATTTCCAATTAGTTTTACTCCATCTCATCTCCTAACAATTAACTGGAACATGTATTTCATGTTCCAATGAATTTAGTGTTGTTGTGTAGTAAAATGTTCAGTTGGATGTTCATTATAACTGTTTTGTCAGATGACCGGATAATGCAAGTACTTAAATCAATGAAAACATGATGTAAATTTTTTCAGCTGCCTTAGGGTGCGTTTGGGACGACGTTGCTACTGCTGTGCTATATAAAAAGCATTGCAAGGCTCGTTTGGGCTAATCACGTCAGAAGCGGTTACAAATATTTCTGCTTCCCCACGCTGCTTTGCGCGACATACCCTATCTTCCACGGTCCGCTGCTTTCCGCGGTATTGAAGGTAGAAAATTACGTAAATGCCAACTTCATGCGAGACTGCGATCATTTTTGCGATACACACGCGCTCATCTCCAAGGTATTCGTTGTTGTCGAGAAGCCTCTTCACTCTTTTCTTAGCGCAATACTGACGATCAAAGTGCTTCACTTGTTTAAATGCATCAGAAATTGGGGAAATTTTCTTGTTTCAAGAAGTAGAAAGGCAGGTAACAATGATACCCAAGTGGGGCGACAACTCTTGACGAATTCATCTCTGGAACTCTTGCATTCGACCGGGAATAGAAGGCCGACGGTCGCCACCTCCGTTGGCTTCTTATCCGCCTCCTTCTCCAAGCAAGAATAGAAGGCGTCCCGAGCCTAACCATCAAAATTCGAGAAATCATGATTCCCTGCCCTTGGAGAGAACGTCCACCATTATCACCATGCGAGAGGCCAGAGCTTGAAGAATGGCTGTTGGCTGGGAAGGCCAATGAGACTTTGATCCAGGATAGTCCTTGAGAAGGCCACGATCATTTAGTTCTTAGAACTAAAAATAAATATTTAAAAATAAAAAGTAGTTATTAGATTAGAATGAGAATTTGACTCTTAATATTCAAATCATTAAGTTTTTAATGAATTTTATTCTCATCTAAATATATACAAGGGTATCAAAGTAATTTATGCTTATAAAGTCGCAGCACAGCACGTAAACAGTTAAACTTTCCAAACAAAATATACTATTTTTTATACAGCAACTTCAGAAAGCAGCTTTCTGTACAACAACTTCACAACCTACTTTACCGACAGCTGCAGCTGTTCCAAACGGACCCATATAATTGGTTATTTGGTTTTAGCATCATTAGAATCAGTCATGCCTCTTTTTTAAAGAAAAAAAACCGAAAATATTCTCCTGACCATTTGTATGGCTAATTTGATCTTAGTGTATCACATTTCTCTAATTTAGTTTCTTGACTATACAAAATTGATCCCATATGGGATTCGGGGGACTAAATTGGATTTGTTTTGTATGGTTGAATGATTAAATTGATATCAATTTTGTATGCCAATTTCCATCAATTCTACTCAAAGGATTATTTGGGATCAATTTTTTATGGTTGAGGGACTACATTAGAGGAACATAATATTTTTTTGACTAAATTAGTTCCTTATGAATAGAAGTGATTATTTTGGGCTTTTTTTATAACCACCCTTTCTATAACGTAGGAACAAGGTTGATTGCATCAACTTCTCTTCAAATCCTTGAATGGGTCAGGCTTCATGATTTGGATGCTTTAATAGTCTGGATAAAGTTAAAGGTTTTGATATTTACTTTGGACTCTTCTTCTTAAGCCAAATTCTTTGGATAGGAATGTGATATTTTCCAATCACTTGGGGCCAAATATAATTGTTACTCTGTTCATATATGTGCATGCTTGTGGATTTAAGGGGTGAGGGTTGCAAGAACAATAGTTTCATGCACTAGGCTGCATGCATAAAAGCCTATAAGAGTCAAGTTTCCATTTTGAATTAATAGACCATGATTTTATGGTGCCCTAATTACCGAATCATTTTGAATGCATCCGAGCTTCCTCAGGAAGGCGATCTGGACTTGGTTTCTACGATAGATCAAATATCCTCTCTCTCTCTCTTTATCATGGCGCATTTGTACCTTAGTTATGCTTAATCAACACCTCAATCATTCTATAATAATACATATTTTTATTTACAGATATTTAATATTGTGTACCATATTTCAAATGGCGCACGCCGCATCGTGTGCCATGCACAATGGCTCCATGGAGAACTTTGCACCATATGTGCGATTCACCATTGACAAATATGTTCACTCATCTCAATCAATGAAATATTTAACATTTTATGGAGCTATTTTCATAGAGTTTAAATGAACTTGCAATGAGATTAGTATGAGCGAGAGCATTGGTGAGTGGCCTCAAGTGGTAGAGATACGATGACCAACTACAAGTGTTAGCAACATGGGTCTGATTGGTCCTAAGGAGGTTTGTTTTTGTGTAATAGGAGCAGCGAAGGTACCAACAAGTGACAATGGTTGTGTTGCAATTAAGAGGTCAAAGTCATGTGTACCCAAAGGAATGGGCGAGGGAGAGGGGAAAATAAGGGGTTCCTGTTGAGTCGATAAATTTATTCTAATTTGGCAAAAAATGGTTGGAAATTATAAAATTTTGGTAGAAAATCTCTCAAGAAACAATATATGAGGAAATTCGTTAGCTCCCTTGCTTTTGTAATAAGCTCTCCAACCTAATATCAGCAATTGTAAAGCTCATATATTTGATGATCCTTGTAAATAAGGACTCATTTCTTTTTCGACTAGGGATATCCTACAAAACGTTGGACTCGGGGAGCTTGGGTGGTTTGCCATCACCCCTCTTATCTATTACCAGAAACATGTGCAACATAACGGGGCACAATGAATGCCATAAGTAATTGTTAAATGTAGAGTTTGACCTCCTTAATGCTTGTTCAAACCATGAGGGTTAGTTAATTTTTATGATTTGTGCCATAAGAAGTCTTGCACCCGTTAATTAAATAAAACTATTAATAACAAACACAGAATTTTGTTATATTTATACCAACCCGTCTCTTGGAAAAATATCTCTAGCTTTCTCAGGAGAATACAAGGCCTTTTTTTTCCATAACTCGCATTCGTATTGCTTAACTATTTGCATGAATTTATAAAATAAAAGAATGAAATGTCAAACTTCTTTATCTAAGCCTTAACCATCCTTATAATTTTCGAATTCAACATTTATTGCTTTCTATTAGATGCATAGTGATTCGTCGTTTATAGTAGATTTAACCCTTAAACCTCTTTTGCTTGTCATTTACTTAAAGAGCTAGGGTTTTAAGTGAGGAAATATGTTTTCATTCAGCGATAACTGTAATAATAAATACAAGTCTAAGGAACTATTTATATAGATGAGGGCTAATCACACAAGGACTAAATTATCAAAAGGAAATATGATAATGACCATGAGCTCTTAACACATTATATGCGACATTAGATAAAGATGAAATATTGACCATGCTCCTGAATCAAATTCTAGTATGCATGCTTTTGTTAAAGAAATACTTCAGTTTATACTTCCAAATTTGAATGTAATTCTGACTTCATATTCACTATTAATTCAACTTCTGACCTGGCTTCATTTAATTTATGTAGGAATTTCGTAAGCGTGTTTTAGAAGGTTTCCAGGTCAGCCCATTTTGGCATCAAGGCTTTATACGTGATGATGGAAGGCATGTTTAAACTTGTTACCTTTATTTTGCAGTATAAGTTTGATAATGTAAATTAATCTTGATATGCTTTAGCTTTAGAACTGGCTTTATATGCATTTGCTTTCCTATGCCAGTTCTCAAATATTCCATGTAATTTATTACATATTAAGATTACAAGCATTCCACTAATTTTTTTTTCTATATTATATTTTCATAGGTCAACCTATGTTCAGACTGTGAAGACAGCACGTTGGGAATATAGTACACGTCCTGTATATGGCTGGGGTGATTTCAAATCTAAGCAAAAATCTACGGCAGGCTGGTTAGCTGCTTTTCCTGTCTTTGAGCCTCACTGGCAAATATGCATGGCAGGCGGTTTGTCGACAGGTATCGACTATTTGACTATAATGCTAAGTGAAAACAGGAGTTATTGTACTCAATTAATCAATACACTTTTTCTTAAACATTTTGAACTAATTGCATATTTTTTAATACCTTCTTATCCTAAATTTGTATGTTCCTGATATAATTCATGTTGTTTGTCTTAACATGCAGTTAAATTTATTTAATAGACTCTTAAGTTATATTTGATCAATGAGGTTCTAGTACCAAAATGGGCATTCAAACTACACATCAAAATTTTAGGAGAACCTTATATAACTCTTTTTAAAAGAAGCTTCTAGAAACTTTTTGGAGGCCTAGAGAATCTTGCAGAGGTTCTAAAGAACTTTCTAAAAAGTCAAAGGAATCTTTTAGAAAACTTAGGAGAATTTTCTAGAACCCTTGGGGAGTATTTTTTATGCAAGCTATGCATTTTAAAAAAGTCAAAACTTTCCCTCCTATAATCAAGTGGTGGACCACATCTTAAGAGGAATTTGAGTTTGATTCATATTCAAATTCGGAAGGATCAAAAAATGGAAGAAACATCAACAATAAAGGTGTGAAGAAGATCAAGTCGAAACCTACATGAGATTATCAAGGAACTTTCTACAAGTTACTCCAACCTAATTAGGTTTGGCTGAGCACAAGATGAATCATGATAGGATTTAGGCTAATTTCCTTGAATTTAGGATTAAAATTAGAATTTACCTTGTATTTTCTTTGATAATTTTAATTGATCCATTATGGCTATCAATAGGAGTCATTGTAGATCTTTTTTCATGTCAATAAAAATCACATGCCATCTTGACTCCGAGAGCCATTTTTTCTCCCTCTTAATTGCCCATATGGTCTTCCCTATATTACCAAAAATTGACTGCTTCCATCACTCTCAAAACTCTAAAGCCTTTCTATAGCTTCTCTCACCATGACTTTCACCAGTTTTCTCTCTCTACTTGAGCTTATTGGTGAAAGAGAAGCCAATGTGTCATCAATGAAGCAAGAGGACCCCAAGGAAGAAGAAAAAAGTGTTAACCTCCTTGTGTTCTTCAAGTTGACCTAATCAAAATATGATGATAACAGTGAAAAAAATTGCAATTTTGCTTGAAGAAAAATTAAAATATCTAATTTATAAGAAAAGTGCACTCAGCTATTGCCTATCATGAGTCTTCATATGCCTTTGTCTTCCATTTGCACCTGAAATCTCTAACACAAGTTTATTCCTCTTGCACACTCACCACCACACTTTTTGTCCCTAAACGTGATTCTCCTCCCAGGTTACCCCAAATTTCTCCTAGCACCACTCTTAATGTCGAGAGCTGAGCTTGTTGAATCTCTTCTGGTATCCCCTCTCTCCTATTGGGACTCCTCCCGCTTCTGACCAATTGAAACCTCAACTCTAAGGTAGTGCTAAGCCCCAAACATGGGCCTTCCCAGATGGAAGTCTTAAACCACAATATAGCAATATTATAATTGAATATTGAGGAAATTTAATTCAAATTCCATAGAAACATAAATTGGCTCAAACATGATCCTTGACAAGAGATCAGACTGAGCAACAAGATCTACAACAACATCAACAACTACGTGGGGTCGGCTACATGAATCCTTTTTCTCTATTGTCCTGTTAAGAGTCAAATTCTGAATTAAATCTAATAAAGAAAGGTCGTTTCTAATATTTTTTAACCAAGTCTTTTTAGGTCTATCTCTATCTTTTTTAACCTAGGCCAAATCTAATACATGTACTCTCCTAATAGGGTCATCGGAAGGCCGACATTTTACATGGTCAAATTATCTAAAGTGGCTCTCTCTAATCTTATCTGTCACTGGAACTACTCCAAACTTTTCCCAGATATGCTCGTTTCATATTTTGTCTCTAAGAGTTAAGTCCACTCATCCACTTGAGCATCCTAATCTCAACAACACTTAACTTAATATTATGCTTCTCTTTTGATGGCCAACATTCTACGCCATAAAGCATTGCAAGTCTCAACACCATCTTATAAAATTTTCTCTTAAGATTGAGTCAACAAGGTCTATAAGTCAATATTCGATAAACTTCTAAGCTCGTTCCTTTGAAAATAAATAATAGAGTTTATAAGATTCAGAGCACAATAACCTAATGTAGAAATAAAAACACATGTACCTTTCCCTCAATGATGAGTTCAATCATTAGATTATCATCAGTGGAGGGGATCTTTCTCGCCATAAAATGGATATAATATGATCGAAACCATATCCAGAGAGAATTCCATCAAAATCTAGCACCCCTCTTACGAGAAAAAATATTAATAATCAGCTTATTTGTGCTCAGTAGCTACACATCTATCCTTTCCATCAATCTGTTGAAGTTGATAAATGTAGGCTTGAATGAATCTCACAAAGAGCCAACCTTATATCTAGTATATTCATATTATCACACTCAAAACTCTTATGCCTGTAAGGAAATTGCACCTGCCCTCTAATCAGATGGTTAGCCTAATTAAGATAGCACCAGTGTCATTACAGTGATTGGCCTGAATCTTATAGTGATCAAGTCTTTAAAAAGAGTGCACATTTTAGATATCTTGGGCCTATTGTTCAAAGTGATGGTAAAATACATAAGGATATTATTAGTAGAATTCAAGTTGGATGGTTGAAGTGGAGAAATGCATCAGGCCTATTTTATGATAGAAAATTACCCTTCAAACTTAAGGAAAAATTTTATAAGATGGTGGTGAGACCTGCAATGCTTTATGTCATAGAATTTTGGCCATTAAAAGAGAAGCATAAAATTAAGCAAAGTATTGCAGAGATGAGGATACTCAGATTTATGAGTGGCTTTATACTTAGAGATAGAATACGAAATAAGTATATAGATGAAAAAAGGTTGGAGTAGCTATAGTGGCAGATGAGATTAGTGAGAATTACCTTAGATGATGTGGTCACATAAAACATCGGTTTTCTAATGCCTCTATTAGGAGAGTAGATGTAATAATCCGGCCTATGTTAAAAAAGATAGAGATATACCTAAAAAGACTTTGTTAGAAAGTATTAAAAATGACTTTTTTTTATTTGCTCTAAATGAGAATTTGACTTTAAATAAGACATAACAGAAAAAAAGAATTCATATAGCTGACCCTCCACGTAGCGAATAAAAGCTTCTTGTTGTTGTTATAATTATAATCATGGATTGTAAGTCGCACTTGATAGGTACATTGCCCCCTTTGTTAGCTGAGGCTGATTTAAACCCCTTTTACAAGCTTTCCCCTATTTATGGGCTTCCTTTCCCCTATAAGATACACTCATAGTTATTGATAAAATTTTTTTAGTCATATCGAGTTGATTATTTTCGTTGGCTAAGTGAACCAATATCTATAAAAATCTTAAATCACAAAATCATGGATCCTGATAATGTTTGAGGTAATTTCCCATGCCTGCTCTAAGACAACATTGATATATTCTTCTCCATAAATAAAATTGTTGTTACTAAAAATAAAGCATATTTTAGCTTACCTTCTAGCTTTAATTGAAAGTTCTTGCTTATGATTGGGGATAATAAATCATAGGAGCTTGTGTTTATAGGAAATCTTGAATATGATTATGAAGTCCTTTTTAGAGGAGGGCAAAATCTTTGACCATTGTCTTATGTAATATCTAATCCGTCTTCCAAAAATCTAAACTTGAACCACTTGAACAAAAATGAGCTGAGAGAATTTTTAAAGCCTATAAATTTATGGGAAATTTGTTGAGGAAAATTTCTTTTTTCATCTTTGCCTAGTCTCATATGTGCTCTTTATCTTAGTAACCCATGTACACCTTGTCACTTAGCAAAAAAAATTTTGTGACAGTCTTAAAAGGGAAATGAAAAGCTAAATTTCTTCGATCTCAATTTAAATTCTTAGATCTTCATCTTTTGTAGAATTCTAAAACATAATCTACACAAGCTTTCATGCGTTTGCTCAAGAAGGACTGAGTGCTGCTACCTATCTGTGGGATCCGAAAATTCACACCCCGACCTTTTCACGGCCCCTTCTCTTTTTTTTGGGTCGTCGAGGAGAGTTTTAACGAGTAAGTTTTAAGGAAAATTTTTAGAAGGCATATTGGGTTTTGAATAAGATATTACTCAGAGATTTCACCTTCATTTTGTGAGAACTTTATGATATGAGTTCGGGTTTCCTATAATCCAAGCCCCTATAGTTAATTACCCCTCTAATGAGAGAGAACTTTCGATTAAGGCTAGTCGTCAAACGAATACGTAGTATCTGTGTATCTTAGTAGCATGATTTGATATTTAAAAAATTTAATATTTAAAATTAAAAATTTACCACCTTGCATTTAAAGCGGATGGTGAGAGGAAATGATGATAGACTCGATCAAGATCCCATGCTTCCGTCGTCTCGGGTCATCATGTTTCCTGATCTACTTGGTTAGAGGAGGTAGTCGACCTAACTTGATAGAAGGATCCTTGTTGGCAACCATGAGTTTCGTCGACCAAGGATACCTCGTAGACATTGGACGAATATTTATCTAAAAGGATAAATTTGAATCCACATTAGCTAACAGAGGGTTTTGTTCCCTATCGATTATATCATATTAATTCATTACTTAATGATTTGACACCGTTTGAGAACCTACGGGATCTGATCATGACTGTAATTTAATGGTGCCATTTAGCGGCAAAACCACCCGATTAGGGGTCCCGGTCATAACCGTTTACTTGTGGTGTCATTTGACAGTGAAACCATCGGTTAAATGACACGTGTCACGTACTTACTGGCAATAGATGGAATGAGAATGAATTTTAGCGATATTCTCGACCAGACGTTTGCTCTTTGTGAGCTAATGTTATTTTCAAGTTTATCCCAATTGGCAAACTGTTGTGGAGGATGGATGAATTTTGCTTTAAGTATTTTTTTGTTTAAATTTTAATTTTAAATATTTAGGTTTTAATGACTTTTTAGCTTTAAAGTTTTATGGGAATTCAAAGGTTGTTACAGGCTCAGTAGTGGTGATAACTAGAGAGGCAC